AAATGACCAGCCAATCAGAGAGCTGGTAACAGGGAACATTTGCATATATAACAAGAATAGTTTTTCTAAACAGTCACATCAATACTTTTGAAATGATGATTCAAGATCTTCTGAATGTTAGAAGCATGAGTAAATCATTAAATCCCTTATACAGGATTTTTTGGTACCTTGAAAATTTGAAACTACTGTACTCCACTGATACTGGCTGGAATTCCTTTGATTTTTCCCATCCAAATGTAAGATTATTCCATTTGTTCCTGATGAGATTTATATTTGTGTTTTTTATTCCAACTGGTCAAGTTCCTTCTGAATCTTGTCTTATCTGCTAAGGTATTTGTTATCTCTCCATTTTTTGTGTCAGCTACAAATATGATAATCATATTTTCTAATAGCACTGGGCCCAGAATTGACTCTGGTAGTATGCTACTGCCATAATGTATATTTTTGGGAAGTGATGTTCACTCAATTCTTTATCCATATAATGGTAATATAGTCCAGCCATGTATTCCTGTCTTGTCTGCTAGGATCTAAGGCAAGGTAGGGTGTTCTTCTAAGTGTTAGAATAGTTTTATTCTATAGAATATATAGAATGATTTACTGAAGTCAGGGTATATTGTGGCCAATGTATTCCACTGGTCAACTAACCTAACTACTCTTATTAAAAATGTTAATTGGAATCTGTGACTGTATCTTTAAAGAAACCTATTTTGGCATTTGGTTCTGCCTTGCATTTTATTGTTTAGGTAAAATTCTATTTCCAGTTGCATGAAGCAAACTATTCCTAGTTTTTTGCTCAATTGTAGGATAAAGCTCTTTCATTCTGCTCTTCACTATTTCCTGTTGGAGTGTATACCTTTTTGGTTGGAAACATCTGAACAAAAATAGTTTATTTTTTATTTATTGTTAAATTTATTTGCCGCCTATTTTGCCAAGGGGCTACTCTAGGCGACTTACAGCAGTAAAAAGAAGACATGAGAGGGTAGGAACAATACAGAAGTAAAATAGAACAATGAAATGAAAAATGAAAAACAACGAGAATACATCAATATGATAACAAAAATATGGATGGATGAAGAACAAAGAATAAGGAGGTAGAGTCGAGTTTGCCATCAATACAGCAGCTACCTCCAGCATGGAATTCCACCATGCTGGAGGTCATCTGGCAGAGCCAGGTTTTCAGCTCCTGCAGAAGGATAGAAGGGTAGGGGGAGATCTTACCTTAGAGGGTAGAATGTTCCAAAGGGGCACTGGAACAGAGAAGGCTCTTTTTCTGGACCCCCATAGTCATACGTTTTTGACTGATGAGATTTGTAGTAGGTCCTTTCAGTTGGCATGAGTAGGGCTTGTCCTAGCAGGACAAGACGGTAATACTTTTAATATTTTGGCCTCCCCTTTTATTCGATGTCTACTTTGCAGAGGTGATCCATGCTACAGTGATAGTCTGAACTGTCATCAAGAATGTACACATCAAGAAGGCTCATTCCTGATGATAGTTGATCATAAAGGATCTGGCAGTATACAATCTACCAGAGAATAAAATCACACACTATTCCAATATCGTGCCAAGAAAATCAACCAAACAATGCCTTGCACTAGAAGATGAGCCACTCAGGTCAAAATGCATCCAAGGTACAGGGAAAGAGAGAAGACAATTATAAACATCAGTGGGTCTTATGTGGCTGGATTAAGGCTGAAAGATACATATCTAACGAAACCAGGTGTGTATAATATTGGTACAGAGAATGCCAAAACCATGAATCAAGGCAATTTCGATGTTTTCAATGCAGAAATGTCAAGACTGAATGTTAATATTCTGGGAATCAATGAAATGATGTAGATAGGTCACTTAATATCAGGGAAGCACCAGAACTTCTGCTGTGTATTATAAAATCATACAAATAATGAAGAAGTGATTATAACTACAAAAAGCATTACAGCTGGTATCCATGAAGATTCTCAGTCTTCCTGGTCCCAAATGTGCTTTTTTTCAAAAGGCAACTGGATTTTGTTTTTTTCCTTGAAGATGGTTTGTATCTCATCCAGGAAGCTTCTTCAGTTCTGACTGAATGGTAGAGGATAGAAGTATTTATATTCCTCACAGTCCTCTGGTCGTTATCACTCTTTCTGAGAGTCATTGAGGCTATTTGGAGGTTTATCTGTGCCCTCAGGGTCATTTGAATAGTGCAAATGGATGTAGAGCCTTCTTGGAACTGCTGAACAGACTGTGACATTGGATTTAAAATTGGTGAAAGAAATATTGACAATTTCAGATATGCTGAAGATACCTGAAACACATGTATTTTGTATTTCATGCCAGTAATCTGCCATGTGGACAAGTCAAAACAACAGTACTAGAATCAGATTTCTCTCACTAATTTGCTATAGTCATACTTTTTCTGGCCCTCTTCTTTGGATTAGATGAATGGATAAGAATTTCATCTGAGCTCCAGGGTGTCGAGCTTCCTTCCAAGAAGTATAAGTAGTTATACTTCTATATACATAAGAACACTGTTCAGTATAAAAATAAATAATCAAAATCCGTATATGATTTATTATTATCAAAACTATGGACAAACATCAAACTTTGCTATTGTAATTGAATAACTTAGAGATATACCCTGTATATTTCTAATATATTCAAGGTTAAAAATAAAAGCTTCCTTAAGGCTGAACATGATTCCCAATTTCTTGGACACGTGTGCAGCTCTGCTGCAAACATTAAAGAAGTTTACCATTGCTTGCTTCTAGGACGTTTTTCAAATTTCAAGTCTAGCCTACAGCCCTGGTATTCGCTGGCAGTCTTCCCTCCAGTTACTCACCAGGCCTAACCTTATTTATCTTCCAATTCAATCCATCTATTCTAAGATGGTTTACTATAAGGAAAAATAAGAGGCAGCATTATATATACTATCTTACCTCTTGTATAAGACAGAATATAAAAACTCAAGGTATGAATGAAATAAGTGCTCATTCATGAAGTGAACAAAATAAGTGCTCATTAGATTCTAAAGTGGCTGTTTCTGTGTAAAATGTTCTGCCTAATACAGCATAACTAGAACTGACCATTGTTTGCAACCTCATTAATAGAAATAATGTTACATTCAATGGTATATAAGTAAACAGTTGAAAGGCCTCTAAGCAGGTAGAAGAATTTATTATTCTGAATTCCTTTGAAGAAAACATTTAAGAAAGATTGTGCTGTTAGTTTCAACAATTAGGGAGAAAATATGAAGAATTGGCAAATGTAAAATGAATATGGTAAACATGTATCACCCAACGATACATAATTAGTCTTGGTTCCTAATTTTTTATTAGTCTCCAACTACTCCATATTCATGCAAATGTCATTCAGTATTTTAATAAAGCCTTATTAAAAGGCCTACAAATAATACAAATGTAAGACATATTTAACGTGCATTTTATGGATGTTCATTTTTGGAAAGATACTTAACTTATACCACCATTATAATTCCTTTGCATTTAAATGTACTTTCCCAATTAGAGGTTACAAACCAAATCTTTAAGTGGAATGTTGGAAAGATTTTTTTTCAAATAATTCTATTAGATATTACAGTTGAAAAGAACAAAAACTACACTGACTGAAAAATTATTTTTAAAAAGGAAAAAAATGTGAAAAAAAATGCACACACAATTTAAGTAAATGTATTGCCATCTCTTAAGTTACAACATATTCTTTCTTCACCTCGTAACTCATATCTTAACTAAAAACAAAATACCCAATCCTTTTCATTCATCTTTATTAGCCAAAGTCCAATAAGTGTTGTCAGATATAACTTATCTATCTTAACCTTGATCAAATATGCCAACATTGTATTCTTTTCCTATACTTTTAATTATGTTAATTCTTAACCCCTTCAAATAGAGTCCTCCAATTTGATTTTTGTCATCTGGTTTTATATTTCCCCAAAAAGTATTTCAGGATTTTAGCAAAACTTTTTTGTATATCCAGTAAAAAGAATTTTCAAATTCTTTAACAGATCTTTTTGTACATGCAGTTTTAAAAAATCCATCTCTTTCTTAGTTGTGTATCTCTTTTAGACACTGAAGCATTATTCAGTTTCATTTGAAAGTCCAGTACATCCTTTTCTGCATCCTTCTCATTACTTGCCACATTTATATTCACATTCAAGTTAATTTCAAAGACATCCAGAGGATCTTGTTCTTCTTCCATTGCAGTTTTAACTGTTCATGTATCTATCGTTTCCCAGACAATTTGTCATAAATTTTCATAGTTTTTTCATAGTTTCCCATGAAAAAGATCATTGTTCAATAGTTCCTTCCATTCTTTTGTTATCCTCTAGTTCCCTCTGGTGTCCATCATTTAAAGTCTCGTTATCTTGTT